AAAAAAAAAAGTTACTGCACATGCTTCAACATGGATAAAACTTGAAAACATTACACTAAGTGAAAGGAGCCAGACACAAAGTCATATTTTATTATACCACTTATATGAAATAAACAGAATAGGCAAATCCATGGGAACGGAAAACAAATTAGTGGTTGCCAGGGGCTGGGAGGAGAAATAGAGAGAATGTTGGACAGAGGGCTTCCTTCTTTAACATTTTCAATATACTAATTGCCACAAGTGGACATATTAAATGGTAAACTTTTATGAGCACTTTACTACTGTACAATGAAAAAAAAATGAAAGTTAAAAAAAAAATCTTTAAATAACTAACCCAATTTCTTTCTATTTATACGGTCACCACAAAATTTCAAACTCATGAAGACAACTGATTAAGTAGTAGCCATTCATTCTCATTTTAAAAAACATACTTTACAAATTTGTACTGCAAACATGGAGGTTTATAAAAAAACAAATACTATCAATCCCCAACATTTTAAAGTCTCTTTTATGTGTATTAACTGGGGAAAATAGTACAGTTGTTTTTCTGTTTTGTTTTGTTTTTAATTACGTAGAAAACCAGGCAAAACAATTTGCTCTAAGTTTCACTAGAACCCACTTGGGACCCACACAGAGCCAGGAATCCACAGAGCACAGCTTACCTGGGCAGTCCTCCAAGGTCTAAGTCACTACCGATGTAGGGGCCTGGACACAGAATGACCCACAGCCCCACTTGTGAAGCCATCATTATAAAAATCCTGGGAAAAAAAGCAACGAAGATAATTTCACACCAAAAGCAGGGCTTTGGAATCAACGCTGCATTTCTTTCTAAGGTCTCTTCTTAGATCAGAAAGTGAAACTTCCAGTCTGGTCCACAAAGTGCTTGCAGCCCATGATCCAGGGGAACAGGTAGCTCTATATTCAGTAAGAAATGGGCTCAGTCAAGGCGCATTCTAACTTCGCATCAAAGTGAGAGTCTAGAAACCCTATAGCACACACCAGCCTTCCCTCCTAAATCTGCTCCTCCCCTGGCTCTCCTATCTCAGAAGTGACCCCACCATGCAGGAAAGACACCTATGGCAGATGCATCCAAAATAGCCCTGCCTCTCCTTTTTCCTCACCTCCTAGCACCAAATTATACTTATTCCTTCTACTTAGTGTTTTAATGAGAAGTTCTTTTGAGCTCCTACTGCTACCATTATTGGTTAACAACTCATCATTCCCCACCTGAGTTTCTGGTTGTTTTCCTTCCTTCTTACCTTTTCCCAATGTTTCTCCAGTTTCTGGAGAATAACATCATCACCAGCAATGAAGATGATAACCTGTATCAGCATCAGGCACTATAGCTCAACTTTCTATCATTTTATTGATACCTATGAGCTAGATAGCAATATCATCTCCATTTTACATATATGAAAATAAAAGCTGAAAGGAGTTACAGTATCAAGATCACATTTTTAGCAAGTAGATGTAAAAGTGCAATTAGGAAAAGAGACTCCAGCAAACAAATCTTAACTACTATATTATTCTGCGTCTTAAACAACTGCCAGCATGTTCTTTCCTTCTGCATATATGAGCTTCCCAAAAAAAAAAAAAGTCCAAATGACTCCCCTCAAAGCCTTCAGATGGATTCCAATTTCTGCAGCATGGTCTATAAGTCCAGGATGTGATCTCTTCCTAGCTCTCCAGCTTTATCTCTGACAGTTTTTCTACTTAGGAGAGTTGGACAACATGATCTGTGGTGCCCAGACAATATAATGACAGGTGGAAAGGTAATCATCAAATCCTTTACCTTTTCTTCCTGGACACACAGCTTGACTGCATTTCTCAGCCTCTCATGAGTATAGATGTGGCTATGTGACTGATGTCAAGTCAACAGAATATGAACAGAAAGTGGTAGTATGTTTCAATTCCCAAATAATGCTTTCCTATACTTTCCCTCCCACTGACTCACTTGATGCAGGCAAGTATGGTGGTTTGAAGCATGCTGATAAAGATGATTTGTTAAAAATACTTATTTATTTATGAATACAAAACTGTGGTACAGACCAGAGGTGCAGGGATGGTGAGAGGATTCACCAGAGACAGAATGAGGAGCAGAACAGGCAGATTAACAAAGTACAGGGCTGAGGGGAGCAGCGGGCAGGTCAGGAGCGGTCTGCTGCACCATGTGGGTCAGCTCCCTGGCCAGTGATGGAACTCGTGCTACAGTGGCTGCAGCTAGATTCATGGTGCTGTGTTTTAACACAGTGCACCACCAGGGAGGGTCTGATAAAGATGATTTTGCCACAAGATAGGAAGGCTGGGAGTAAGAAAAACATATGGTCACCAGGAATAATTGCCTTAGATTTTACTTAAATAAAAATAAACCTTTACTACTGAAAGATATTGAAGTTTACTTATTATAGAAGCTATCATTCCTGAATGATTTAAAATGTCTGGCTTTGCCAGAAAGAAAAAGAAAAATACTGGATGGTTTCACTCATAGCAGGAGCATAAAGGACCAGGGCGGGGAAATAAGAATAATAATATTGATCAACTATATACGGGGGCGGAGTGGGGAATGGGATCAAAAATGGGGGCAAGAGGAGTGCACGGGACTATGGTGGTGGCACACTGGGGTGAACTGGAGATGGGAAGTCCATGGGGATTACAGCTGAGATGAAAAAAGGCACAAAATGATGTAAAAATATACTATTATAATAATAATAAAAATATGTATATAAAAAAAGGTCTGGCTTTGACTTAGCTGAACCCTCTGTGTGAAATATCACTCAGCCCCCTCTATTAATATCTGCTCGACCTTCCAATTTACTTCACTATTGCTTTCCATCATGTTTGCCTTGTTTGGGTCATGTGTCCATAGTATGCTATTATTCACCTCCATAGAAAATCCTTACTTATGGCGCTAACTCTACCATCATAGATGGTCTGAACTACAGCAGGTGGTTCATCCTGTCTTGAATCCCTGTAAAGAGTAGCCTAGAAATCTTTTTCTATAACTGAACTAGCAGGGTCCTGTTAGATTAACCCATGTTAGAATAAAACCACAGCACTCAGATCATACTCTTTCTAAACCACACCTTGAATAAAATGGGCCATAGACACTAAGGTCCCAGCTCCATTGCAAATGACAGAACCACTGTTTGAAGGACTTCAGTACAGGAAACAAAATCATTAGAGCTTCCTACAGGTTTCAAAGCAGAGTAAGGTGCCCCCTGCTGCTTCATAGGATCCCACAGAGTCACAGCTCATCTCTGAGTCAAAGAAATAGATAACTTAAGCATTCACACATACTGCAAATCCAAGTTTTGTGTAAAATGATACTGATTTCTTTTTGGTTCGTGAAGGTTCCAGGGAATATACCTGCAAGAGGAGAAAAGAGAAACATAAAAACCTTTCACTTTACTCACCATACTGACTGCTCCAGTTTTAATACAGCCCCTGGACTGTCTCTCAATGAAAGAGGTTGAAGATTTCGGTTGCTAAATTTGCATGTGTGCACTGTGAATTACCTCCCAATTTTCCTCTATCAAATTCCAACTGCTGCCAATATTTTTTCATGAGTCTGGACTTCAATTAAATTATACACGCATGCAATATATTCTGGGATACAACCAAAAATTTATTTAAGCATATAAAAAAAGTAAACCTGTAACAGCAAAAAAGGAAATTTTTTATCACAAAACAAAATGCAAAAAGAGTTGAGAAGTTTCCCCAGCTGGGTTATATAATATTATTAAAATAAATAAAATGAAATCCAGAAGTCCACAACATAAGATTCATAATACGCAGCATGCACTAGAAGAAAATTGCTGGGTGTGCAAAGAAACAGGAAAATAGGACACATTACCAGAAAAAATATCTGATGGTGTACACAAACCCAGATAGGACACGCAGCATGAAATTACAAACAGATCATATTTTTAATAAGCCAAAGAAAACATGACCACAGGAAGAGAAAAATAGGAGCTACAAAAGACTCGAGTAGAAATTCCAGATTATAAAAATACATGAAATTAAAAAGACTCTTGGGCCCTCCCTGCTGGCGCAGCAGGTTAAAGCACAGCACTGAGAAGCTAAAGCCACTTCCGCATGAGTTCGATCCCTGCCTGTCCTGAAGGAGATCCACATGGCATGGCAGACCTCTCCTGGCCCGCCGCTCCCCTCAGCAGTGTACTTCATCAATCTGCCTGTTCTGCTCCCGGCTCTGTCTCTGGTGAATCCTCTCACCCTCCACATCTCTAGCCTGTACCCCAGTTCCATATGAATAAATAAATAAATCTTAAAAAAAAAAAAAGACTCTTGCTGTTCCCCCATCCTGCAAAATGGTGGTTGCAAAGGCTGAGATTCTAATTATTAAAGAGAAGAAACCTGAAGCCAAAACACCTACACAGGGGACGCTCCACTGCAGTCAAAACCCCATTTTAGTCAGAAATTGACAAATATCCAGTCTGCTATATATTCCAGAAAAGCCCAAATATACACAAAAGTATTTAACAGTTAAATCCAGAATTGCAAAGAAAAAGAATGTTCTGGAGACAGTCACCAAACCAGTGGGTGGTGAACATTGACAGCAGACAAGTGGTGAATTGGAAGCCCTGATACCTCACTGAAGTGGTGCCTTGAGCACTATGAAGCCACAACAAAGACACTTTCCATCAGGATGAGAGAAAACCGAGCTGGTGTCATGGCTGGCATGACCCTGACCATCTTCACTGCCTCTTCCTGAAGCAGCTGAGCACAACTTGCTCCTCGTGACTGGACTTCTGCTCTTGCACCGAGGGCTTCCGTGTAGAACACACCAGAGGATGGTCACTGCCACCTCCACCAGAATTTACAGTCGTGGTGTCAGATACCTCTCCCATGCTTACTTCAAGAAGCTGCATAAGCTCAGATACCAGGAAGGTGAGCTCAGCAACACAGAGGAGGGGAAATAAAGTATTTTACTGAACGTGCCAGGGCCACGAAGATGTGCCCTTGCAGATTGTGCCAAGAAGCCACACTGCTGCTCAGCTCCAGGGCTACTGCTCTCACAAATGCAATGTATTCTCACCAATTTGGGTTGTAAATTTCTTGCAGAGAACTTAATTAAATTAAATAGCTGATTCATTTTTTAAAAATGCTTCCTACTATTAATAGAAGGAAATGAAAAATATACTGGCTGAGACTAACAGTAGGTTGGATATAGCAGAATGAAAGGCCAATAAATGAACTTGAAGACATAACAAAAGAAACTAAACAGTGGAAACAAGAGTCCTGCAAGATGGTAGCAGAGTGGAAATGCTGAACTCCCCACCTCCAGATGCTAGGAGAAAGCAGAGGGAGTGATTTTAAGTCCACTTTGCAGTGATGGCAGAGCAATACACTTCATAACAGAGAAAAGCAGCTGGTGACGCCTTAGATGCCACCAGGCACTGGAGACAGAGGTGCAAGGGCTGGCACACAGGATGAAGGGTGCACTGTTGGGAGACAGGATGCAGGGTGCACTGTTGGGAGCTGCAGAGCTGGGGTGCAGAGTGAGGATTACAGGTTGAGACCACTGAAGCCTGAATCTTCAGGGGAAAGCAGATCAAAGCATTTGGAACTCCTCAGAGAAAAAGCAGCCCAGGTTGAGATATTGAAAACACAAAATAAATAAATAAATAAAGTCTGCTTCCCCACCTCACCTCAGGGCTAAAACCAAAATAACGATGCAAGAGAAACTACAACTCAAGTACCTTCAATAACAGGAGCAAACACCTCAGGATGAGGTTCTGTGCAGGAAAAGAAACGAAAACAACTCCCAGCCTGTGACCCTTGTCAGCTACAATCTACAGCACTGCTTTTGGGGCTTGAAAGCAGTCTGGGGTGCAAGAGGACTCGAGACCACAAGGGCCACTTGTGTGCCCAAAGGAGGGTCACTGTGGACCCAGCACACAACTCTGGTGCCCACAGCATATTTGGAAGGTTGCACTCACATGCAGCCCCAGAGGCCTTTCAGAAAAGCTCGAATCTCTTGGGCTATCAAGTGGAGACTCACATCCTAAAAATAGTGAAACAGTACGAAGGGGGTGAACACTGAGACTGGGCCTGATAAAGTCTGAGCTGGGAATTCGCTAACATTCTTCAGGGCTGGCACTCACATGGTGACAGTGTTGAAGCCACAAGCCTGCAGCTTCAGCAGGCGGTCCTTCCAGTACTCCCTGGGCACCCGGAAATAGTGGATGGTGCCTGCTATGATCAGGAAGGGGGAGCCCTCCAGCACGAACAGGGTGCCCTGAGCTTTCAGGCCTTCATGGCGTGTCTTTATGAGGGAGGGAGTCAGGTTGGCTTGGCCAAAACTGCAAAGACAAAGGAGGTAAATGAAGTTCATGATGTTACCCAGGGGATGCACAGCAGGACGGGCCTGGCAAAGCCTTGCCCGAAGGGGCCCATCAGTGCAGAGAAGCTTCCATCCCACCCTCTCCACATACCTTTTGGAGAGGCCTCCTTGGAGTTGGGTCATTACCAATAACCCTGAAGACAGGCACACGAGACCCAAATGTCTGCCTGGGAAGGCCTTCATGCTAAACAGACAGGACAAGAGAAGTCAGCCCAAGAAGGAGTCAGGAACTGAACAAGGTCTTTGGGGGTGGTGAGGAGGGAAAACAAGGTCCCCACGGAAGGCAGAATACAGCCAAGCTCTCATAGCCCTGGACTCATAACAGACCGCACTCTAAAGCCTTGCAGGGACGACGAGAGCTACATGGAAGAGTCTCCTCCTCAATAACTGTTTTCAGATGCCAGTTACATGGTAGAGAAGAGCAGGGTTCAAAGGTTTACAGAGAATACCCCTGGGAAATTTGTAGGATACCCAACTTGCCAAGGAGTGAGCACTGATCATTCTCATTCCCTGCCTGTAGAGGGATTTCCTCTCAATTTTTATCTTCAGCCCAATTTTCCACATTTCAGCTTCTATGGGGCTCAGCTGCTTGGGGCCCAGGATACACTCATTGTCTGAATCGTCCTTGGTTTTCTCAATGCTTCAAATGTGGGTGAATGTTCTTACTTACCTTCATGTATAAACAATTCTACCAGTCCAAAGCAGGTTGAGGGGCCAGACAGGGCAGTGGTGCGTGAGGTCTGGGCATCTTGGCAGGGGGAGAGAGTGCACCAGCCAAGCTGGGTCCCCACCACTCAGAAGCCACCTGAGTGCCGATTTTTTAGACACACGCATGACTTGCTAGAATCACTCACTAACATTAATGTCTGGCCATTAGCTTCCACTTTACCATCAGCTTGATGAGCTCTATGTTAGGCAGAACTGGGGTGGGTAGACATTAGTGAAGTCAGAGGCAAACAGAACGGGCTCAGGGATTAAATAGACAATGAATGAGGAAGCATGCACCCACACCTAGGAGTGCAGACAACTCCTCCCAGAGCGCTTGAAGAGTGAAGGGAAAAGTGAGTGAGCTCAGAGAATGCTCAGAGATTTTCAGGGAGAAGACAGAAGGGAAGAAGCAGAAGAGCAATGAAGGAAACATGAATGAAGGAGTCAGAGAAAATAACCTGAATTGACTTTACTGAAAACCCGAGGGGACCTTCTATGCTGGGGCAGTCAAGGGGAGCCAAGGGTGGAAGGTGCTAAGAGGTGATGGGTGTCCGGGTTCCGAGGGGCGTCCTGTTCAGCGACCACCTTACCCAATGCCAGGCTGCCCAGCCGCAGTTGTCACAGGTTGCTGCAGGTTTGGCCGCTCCAGGGGGTTATTGGGGAAACCTGCCCGACCTGCACCTGTCTGGGCTGACCAGCGTCAGTCCACAGCCCCACCCGGCAAGCCCCGCCTCGCACTTCTGGACCCGCCTCCTTCTGCCTATGGCGAAATGAAACAAGCTTGAGGGAACTTCGTGTAATAAAGCAAATTACAACGACAAAGGCAAGCACTGGACGTTTACCTTGCGGATAACCAGGCCATACAAAATACCTATAAAAACTAGCAGACACTAAAATAGAAAGTGAGGCTTTGATGCTTCTAAGTTAAGGGAGGAGGAAAGGAAAAAATGTCCGAGTTAAAAAAAAAAAAATTTAAAAAGAGACTTCTCACGGCTGGATGGACATAATCCAGTCCAGCCTCAGGAGTGGTTCAACTCTTCTCGAAGCCCATTTATCTGGAGCTGTACAGGTGTTCTGCCTGCACACTCCATCAGCCTCAGGCTGAATTCCCAAAGGGCGCTGCCCAGGTTCTGGACAGCCTGAGGAAGCTGTGTTTCCAGCAACTGAGCTTGGCTGCTTCCCTCTGCTTTGGCCACTTAACGTTTGAAAGTCTGATGTTCCGGAAGCTTTGTGCTTCTTTCTTCCTACTGCTTTTTCTCATTGCACATTTGTACTTGTAGTTGATCTCTCTTTTCTCATCGCCTTTCTTCCTACACTCGGTGCTGCTTCTCAAATACATCCGAAGAAAAAAGCATTTAATGCCCACTCCACTAGTGGAATCTAAGCTTTTCTGTAGTTTTCTTAATTTACAAAATCAAATACTTCAGGCTACTCTCTAACAACTTTTCTTTTCTTCCCCTACTTGCTATTATGCCTCCTTTGCAGGGACTTTGCCTTTCTGGGTGTGCTCACTCTCCTTTTCTGCGTACTTAACTGAAGATCATGCTTCTGGATGACAGTTGTTGCCTCCACTGCTTGACATTGTTCCCTGGGACTTCTGCATCCAGGACAGTGATACTTTTAAATGCCAGGTACCTTCCTCAGACTACTTCATCTACTAAAGTATATGACTTCACTCAGAGTCTAAACTATTTCTCCAAGATACAAGATAATAATTCTTCTTTCTGACCAGTCATTTTTTCCACTGTCTCTCAAGTCTTTGAATCTCTCATTTTTCTGTTTATCACACTCCTGGCTTCATACGGCATTTAGCTATTTCATAAACATCCCTCCTTCCTTGCCAAAAAGTGGTACCTGCTTAAGCTTAGGCATCCCTCAGGCTGTGTTAACAAACCAATCAGTTTTCTCTTCCCTCTGCAATGAATCAATGAGTAGAAATGGGTAGGTCAAAGAACCCCAGACAATAGTTT